CAATGCAGGCCTGAAAATAGTGATAGCAGCAAAAATTCAAGAATTATGTTTTCACAAATGACCTCAAATTAACTGTACCTGCTCAAGAGGAACAAAGTAGATCGGTAGATGCTTCCAGTACCAAGTGCACTGCCAAGGATCATTTTTCTCACTGATTGTTTTTACCATGTCACACCAATACCAAAACAATCTTCATTGGCTCCAAATTACCTTTAAATCAAATGTTTAAACTCTTTAGTCTGAAATTCAAAGCCTTTTACATCTCCCCTTTTTCCTACCACTTACTCTCTTCTAACCTCATTTCTCATCAATCCATGGTACAGTCCTTTTACCTCAACCAGCCTGGCATATTCTCACCACCATATTTCCTCTCTCTTTCCCTGTAATGCCTGTCCACTTCCTTCTTGCTGATCTATATTAATTACATCATTTAAGACCTACTTCAAGATTTGCCCCTTTCAAGAAGCCTTCCATGATTCACTCACAGTATCACTAATATTTTGTGCTAGAACAGACTTTATAGCTAATTGATCAAGTTCAACTTTACCCCACCTCCATTTTTCAGATTAAAAAAAAAAACTTGAGTCCCAAAGCAATTAAATGATTTGTATAAGATAATGCTGTGAGCTTACTGGTAGAAACTTAATCTGAGGACAGATTTCCTGACTTCCTTTGCAATTTCCTTTCAATACCGTCACACTTTGTCCCCACTGTTCCACCCCACAAACAAGTTTAAAGAAAGGGTGGTGTCATGATCATAAACTGGCATCTGTATTCGGATTGTTTTTCACCTGTATTTGGCTTATGTCAACCACCAAGTTCTAATAATTATTGAGGGAACAAATCATGTCTAATATTTCTGCACCCTCATCACCTTCCCCATGGCATCTTATATTATAGAACTATGTATACCTCAGACTGGCAGCAAATATATCTTAACTGTGGAATGCTTAACTTCAAGAAAATATAAAAACAGAACAAATATAACAAGTACACTCTGGGTGGATTATTTTATTACATACATATTCAAAAATGTTCCTCTAAACAGGACTTCCTATAGTGAGCTTGGTTACAGATCATTAACTACCATTGAGAGAGAGAGAGAGAGAGAGAGAGAGAGAGAGAGAGAGAGAGAGAGAGAGAGCGCGCTGAGAAACCTCAAGGTAAAAATGTAAGAATAATGGCTCCTCTTAAAGGCTTAAGAAATAATAGAAAGGTATTAAAACAGACTTTCCACTTTGCAATCCAGAGGATTTACACAGTCTTTGTCTCACAACCCCCAACTCAGCACTACGTTCTGGTCTTTCTCAGCTGGACATTGAGTGATACAAGTTCTAAATGTCTGTTCTGCCACTAATTATCTCCATGACCTAAGACAACATCACTTAATCTCACTGGACTTGTGTTTTCTCAACTGTAAAAGGTTAGGGAGTGGAGTGGAGGATGGAAGTCCAGACTTACTTTGCCTCACACATTTGTTGTGCAGCTCAAGATGATATATGTGAAAGTACTTTAAAATCAAAAGGCATTTATAAATTCAAGTTATTAACTTCTAAAATCCCATTTCTGTTTTAGTCAAATCCTAGGAGATTAGAGCAAATGAAGGATAACAGGTTTGCATGTTAATTACATCTAAATTAATTGTTTAAATCATCTACTTTCTCTATAAACACTGTGGCAGGAAGTGGGGGGGGTTGGAGTTTGACAGCTGCTAAGACTCAGGAAAAGCACCTATTCTATAAATTTCTCTAAAAGGGAGGGTTTAGGGAAATTGAAGATTTTCAGGAAAAAGGGGGCTTCCACTCTAGCTATACATTGTCATTCTCTCATTTAATAATGAAAAGAAAATGAAAAAAAAAAGAGAGAAAGGAAAACTTTAATTTTGCACATGTTTCAGGTTTTCTCTCCTTTTCCTTTCCAGCACTCCTAGCATGTCTGAAATCAAAGGATCTCTGTGCTGGGGGTGGAGGTGAGGTAACACATTGCATACTCAAAGATATGAGTCCACTGTATTGATCTATCCTTCATCTAGCCCAATTAGATAACATATAGCATGTCCAAATGCCCCAGGTTAAGGACCATGTCTGCCCTAGGACAACCGTCTCCACTCAAACCTCTGTGGAGATGGTCATCATTCGTGTTCACATGTAGCTCTTGGTCAGTGTTGTTCAGTTAGAAAAGAGCCTATTAGGAAATCAACAATCAGCTAAAATATAAAATACTGTAAAAAGAGGGGGAAAAATCCTAACCAGTAATCTGCAATGAATCATATATTTAACAGACATTTTCTGAATTTTTACTATGATCTCAGCCCCAGGGTAGGTTTTTGAGGAAAATACGCAAGCATCGAAATAAAGCTTTCTCTGCTAAGAGACCCATGGACCATGGGGGAGAAAAAGGTGTAAACAAGATACAGCAAAGATGCCTGGAAGTCAGGCATCAATTAACCCATTCTAATTATTTCCACCACCCATATTTCCATAAAGCAGTGTATTCAATGCTGGGTTGAGGAAAGACTAAAAAGCAAAACTAAACTTTGTTATAACATAAGGCAATAAAGTAGCTTGTGATGTGCCATCAATTTTTAATTAAATTAATCATAATACAATCCAGGCAGTATATCTCTAGCAACCGACCATAATGGAACAAAGGCTATGTGCAAACAACCATTTTAGTATTCAGCCTCGAACTGGCCTTACAGCAAGAGTTTATAGCATAAATGTTGGACTTTATGATTAAGCATAGATTTACAGACAAGAGTACCAACGAACATATATGAAGCAATAGCTCCAAGTCGTCCCCTGCTGGTATCCTGCTTGAAGACACCCTATCTATGCCAAAACCCCACCCGGTCATTGTAACCCAAGAGGCCATCCTATTCAGTGACTCCTCCGCCTTCATCCCTTCTGACTATATGCTGCCAGGTTTTTAGTGAAAACAAGATTGAAATGTGAGCTATTGGCCCCTTCTAAAGACAAAGATTTCACCAAAGTCTGAAAGTAAAGTATAAGAAGTGAATGACCAGTGCAGGCTTACTGGCTGGTCAGATCTGGCATCTGTATGCTTCAGTCCTGAATTCTTAGGGTTAAAAATCAGCTTGGCTGCTTGAGTATAGGAGAGGAGAGAAGAGAAAAAGCCCAAGGTGGGTAAAAAAGATGAGCTCTTTATGTGGATTTACTGAAGGGAGGCCTGCCATCAGTGAGGGAACTTGATAGGGCTCACCTCCCCAGGGCTTCCCCTACTCCAAAGGTCAGGGATGGTCCCCACACTAGCTTAGTAGCTACCAAGCAATGTAACCTTTCTGCAAAAGGGTGGGCTTAAGCTGTGTTGCTGCAGTGAAGATCTGGGAAATACAGATCTCATCAGAGATTCTGTTCTTGGGAGGAGGCGAGATGAGGCTGTCTTCTCTGGTATTATTTACTGCTGGGATGTAGTGTAGGGCACAGAAAAATGCTGCAGATTTTAGAAAATTCTGGGTGGGTCAGTGTCAGCGTCAATAGGAAAAAGAAGAGGAATTAGTGGAGGATATAGTCTGGGAGGAGAGGGAGGAGGAGGGGCTGCAGAAGGAGGGTTGCTATCCACAACTGCAGCATTATGTGTCAGATAAATTCACTTGTCATCTCTCAAATGAGGTTTGTAGGTACCCCTCCCCCCAACTCCCACACAGCAACGGTTTAATGGGTGGTCTTCTCAGTTTTTAATTGCAGTTTTGCAGTATATTTGGTGCCTAAAGTCTAGGTCTGACTGAGGTGATGCTTTGTATGTATGTGTCCATAAAAATAGAGAGAGCTTCTGAAGTCTCCCTATGTAGTGGGAAGGGTGCTGCGGCAGGGACCGCTGTTCCCTTCGCCAGATAATCTGCCGGTCCCTAATGTCAGAGTGCTTCCCAGGAATCAGGAGGTGGAAACGATGTGGTGTTGCAGTGAATTTCCCCAAGTCCACGATAGATACACAAGCAAACACACACATGCACAGGAACAAGTTCAGGAAAAAGTCCTGTTCAAGCCTGGGAAGTCCAGCTCAAAGCAAACGGCAGGATCCCATGGGCGAGGCGCGCCATACAGACACCCGGATCACTGCGGAGACCTGGACAGCTGGGACGTGCAGTCCCGCAGCCACTTCCTGGGCACTCTTGCCTCGCTCTCAGAGCTATTATCTGCAGGCTGTGGAAAATCAGTGCTCACGCCCGCCCACCCTCGTCACATACCTTTCCCAAAGCACTTCAAACCCCGCACCTAAAGGCAAACCGCTCTGACCTGGCCAAGCTCAGAAATGCAAAAAATGAAGGTGGGGAGGCAAATTTTACCTCAACTGAAAGGATGAAAGGATTCACACACACACACACACACACACACACACACACACACACACACACCAAAAAAAAAAAAAAAAAAAAAAAAAACTGCTGGTTAATTTTTTCCCCAGGGTTAGCAAAAAGAATTACTTGCCCACAGAGGTTTGGAGATGGGGGGTAAGAGGTTGGTCCGAGGCTAGGTTCACCTGCTGCTGAGGTGGGAGAGCAGACCCAGGAAGGAAGCTGTTCTGAGCAGTAGCTCACAGCAGAGTGAATGAGGGGATGGCAAAGACCCTCAAGTTGGCGTCTGGCTCTTTTTTTTTTTTTTTTGCATTCAAGTCACTAAAGGGTTAAGCGCGCAGCTGGGCTCCAACTCCCCCTCTCTACTCCCCCTCCCCTATTGTCTCCCCCCTCCCCTCCCCTCCCCTCCCATTCGTCGCTAGGAGGTCATCAAGCCTCTGTCCAGTCGGCTTTCACAAGCCCCTCTGATTCCCGCCCATCTGGCCTGTGGCTGCTTACGAAGAGGTGTGCGCACACCGAGGGGCGTGTTCCAGCTCTGGGAGAAGCTGAGAGCCGGGGTTAGAACTCAGAGCTCAGAGCGGAGCCAGCCATGGAGTGGGGCGGGGTAAAGTTTCGCACCCTGCAAGGGGCTGTCGAACTGGAGGGGGCGGGGCGCCCAAGGGTACTTTAGCCCTCCAAGCTCAGGGGCACAGACTGACCAGACCTGAGGCGGGGGGGAAGCCATGGACCGAGGGGCAGCCTCCGCCCCCGGCACTGCCCCGACTCAGGATGAAGAGCAGCCCTCAGAATCTTCAGAGCCGCCACCGTGGCCGCCGCCGCAGCCTGCTCTCCCACCGCTCCACGCGCCTCCGCCAGAGCCCACACCACAGTTCTGTCCAGAGCTTGCTCCAGAACCCTGTCCGGAGATGACCACAGACCCAGAGCTGGTCCCAGAACAAGATACAGAACCGGCACCCGAGCCGACTCCAGAACCAGCTACAGAACTAGACACACAGCCAATCTCAGAACTGACCCCAGAACCGGCCCCAGAGCCGATCCTAGAACGAGCCACAGAACCAGCCAGAGAGTCCTGCCCTGAGCCGGCTTCAGAGACCCGTCCGGAGCCGAGTCCAGCACCTCAGCTACTGCAGTGTCCAGCGATCGCTCCAATGACGGGTCTGAAGACCTCAGCATCGCCCCAAACGCCGGTGCCCTGGTCTCATATAAAGGTAAGAAAAGGACCCCCTGAGGCAGGCGAGGCCAATGGTTTTCAGGCTCTGGGGACCCTGGGTACCTTAGCATCCCATTTGGCTGCCAAGGACCAGAAAAGATGCTCAGAAAGATGCGGGGACAGCAGAGTGGGAAGGGGTTGGGAATCGGGAAGCAACCTGTGGAAGCGAAAGTGAGCTATTTGGGGCTAGAAACGGGGTGACCGCATGGGGTGGTCATCGGGACAGTTTTTCCCCAAGGGGAGAAGTGACAGTGTGGCAAGCACCTCGGTCTTGAAAAAGAGACGGGAGATGCTCCCGGGGAGCGCTAGAGACCTAAAGAGGCGTTTGGGGCTGGCCCGGGACACACGGGATGGGATGGAGTAGGGACAGCAGAACACACCTCTTCGCGGTGGTCACTGCCGCAGAGGCCCAAGCTGCGAAGTCACAGCTGTCTGCTTGGCACTGTCCCTATCACCGGGGAGGGGGTCCTCAGCTGGGGCATAACTGGTGGTTCTCCAGGGAGGTGCCCTGTGCCTCTGTCTGCTGCTGGACGCTGGCACTCCGGGTGGGGATAAGGGGATGGGCGGTGTCCACGCACACTGCAGGGGAAGGGAAGGGAAGGGTTCGCCTGGGAGGAGGGGGTAGGGGGGACATGCCTATGTCGGAGCCACCGCTCATCTGTCTGCAGGATTTCCCAGCAGGTAGGTGCAATCACACTGATGTAGCAATGGGTCCCTTGACAAGCAAGGTGACTGGCATCCTGCACCAGGACCACTTCAAATGGTACAGGGGCCCCGGTTTAGCTGCGTGAAAATAAGAGTTGCTATTTGAGAGCACGTAAATGGGAATCCTCATCTCTTCCACTCTTTAGAGATGTCTTCATAAATGATTCACTTAGCCGGGAAAGGAAGAATGGAGGGTCCCCGTCACTGGCCGGGGGATGGGGCGGGTGGGGGTGAAATGAAGACGGTTATCAATGTTTGCCGTGGACCCCAGAAGCGAGTGCCTGCTCTTCAACCGGAGTCTGTCTTTCTTGCTTTCTCTGTACTTCCCCTACTCTTCCCCTCAACTTCGCTCCAGCAGACTGTGAAAAATCATGGTAATGCATACATACGCCTTCATTTAGCCTCCCCTGCAGGAAAAACAAAACACAGAAACAAACAAATAACATACCACACCAACAATGCCCATTCTTCCTGCTGCGTAGCAGGGCTGAGGGACAAGGCTCTGGAATGCTTCTGCTGCGGACCGCATACTTGTAGAATGTAGGGGGAGGGGGCACAGGTTGGCATCCTGCAAAACAGAAAGGAAAGCAGCCTTGGTTGCTTTCTGAGTTGTGAGCAGGGAGGATTGACTTTGCAAAATAATTGCAATATTAAACGACTAAAAAAAGAGAAGACCTAAAAGGGAAAGTTTCGAAGGGGAAAAATACAGATGTTTAAAAATAAGTAAAACAGGATTGTAGGAGGCTAAGACCATTTTAAAAATCTAACAACCCTGCTCTCACCAGGAGGTGGGTCTCTCCCCTTCTTACAGGGGCCATTCCCTGCAGTGATCTCCAGAAGGAAAGGGGCAGGGCAGCTAGACCTGGAAGGACACTCTAACCAGGTGCTTGCTATTGTCTTTTTAAAAAGAATTTTCATAAAGCTGGTGAGAGGGAGACCAGTAGTGTCTCTCTGGTCCTTGGCCTTCTTAAGTGACATTTTGGGAATGTGGCTGAGAAACTAACACCTGGGGCCTTAATTACCAGGCTAACTAGCGAAATTCCAAAATGCAAAATGCGTGGTCTCTTTGACCTCCAGAAGTCTTCCTGGAGGCCAGAACTCCGGGATGAGCCCTGTGGCAGTGGGAAAGTGTCTCTCACCAGCTTGACTGGAAAATGTCTGTTGTCAGACAGATAAGGAGAATTAAGGTAAAGGTAATCAGGTTAGCTTCCTCTACATAGTACCCATTAAGGTGATTAGCTCAGAGGCACTTGCTGCCCTGGCAGAGGACCCAACCCCGACTCCCCCCCCCCCCCCCCTGCTCCCCCCTTTCCCCCCAGAATTTGACTTTGCCCTTGATAGAGCTGGTCATTCAGTCAGTCAGTCACGTATCTTGCAAAATAAGGTTAAGAATTTTGCCCTAGCCGGTTTGGCTCAGTGTATAGAGCCTCAGCCTGAGGACTCAAGGGTTCCAGGTTCGATTCCAGTCAAGGGCACATACTTGGGCTGTGGACTTGGCCCCCAGCAGGGGGTGTGCAGGAGGCAGCCAATCAATGAATCCCTCTTAGCATTGATGTTGCTATCTCTTTATCCCTCTCCCTTCCTCTCTGAAATCAATAAAAATATATTTAAAAAAAAAAAGAATCGTGACTATCCACTAAGGGGGCCATGTAGATGAACACTTCAGTGGCCCTAAAAGATTTTGAAAGATGCCAATTGTTTCTACCTGAACCCTTCTCCAACACTCTAGTTGTTGCTATGCAATTGCTTGCTACAGATGGGACCACCTCTTCAGTGGTAGGACCATTGTCTGCTGTATCCTCTTCATTGTCTGCTGTATCCTCCTCAGCAAATAACACCCCACAACCAGCTGACTTAACATTCAAAGTAAACAGGTTTCCATCTTACCTGGGGTGGCATTGTTCTCAGACACTGCTTCTTTGAGGCAAACTTGGGGGTTGAATGAGATAGGAAATAAAGACACAGGCCACACACATGTGCTTGTGTACGTGTATACACACACACACACACACACACACACACACACACACACATTCAGAGATCAAAACAAAATACAGTTCTCATCTTACAATAAAATTCTACAATTTAATGGCAAGTATAGTCAGGACCAGTAGCCATCCAACTACCCTGGTAAGTCAAAGAATGAAATGAACAAAACCCAGTGTTTGAATGTGACTGCAGGTTTCTCCCAGATAATTTTGCTGACTGGTATTGCAGTAAAAATAAATAAATAAATAAATAAATAAATAAATAAATAAATAAATAAAATACACAGCATCTTCTAGAGTATAAGTCTGCTTTTGGGGTTTAAGAACATACTAATTGCAAATCTATGCCAAGAGTCAGGGTAGAAACTGATAAAGGGGGGTTCATGTTTTCTTTCTTTCAGAATAGCTACCAGGATAACAGTCCGTGAACTAAACCTGTCTATTTCCTTCCTTTCTAAAATATTTTGATTTCCAGGAAACGAGCCGTTGTCTCCCACCTGGTGGCAGTAAGTGTAAGTAAGGATGTGTGAATTGGTTCTTTAACAATGCTATAACTCTCTAGGGGGGAGTGGAACTTATAAGACATGGACCATGTTTGTTTTTCTCCATTCAACTATGGTTGAAGACAGTTTATATTTTAATTCATTGGATTTTGATCAGCTAGGAAATTATAATCACATTATACAGGTGATTGATGAAAATCTGAGAATACATTTTTTGTGGCATATATTTCTAGGGTGGGGAGGGTATCTGTGTGCCACTCTTAATGATTACACAGCAATTACCCTTATATCCCAAACCATAACAGAACTGTTTTCTGATATTTTTTGCACACATTTTCTTGCAAAGTAGCAAGCATTTGTTCATATAATATCGGGTCATTTTTATCTGAATACATTATCTTGCCTATTTCTGAGCTTCTGAAAAGTAGGTATTGTGTCTCCCTCCCACCACCTGGTACAATTCAACCCTCCATATTTTTGCTTAATAAACACTTGCTGAAGCTTGAAACCTATCAAATCCATTTCCAGCAATGATGCAGAGATGGCTGCTGTGAATGAATAAAAATGCATTTTCAATGATTTCAGAGTAAGAAGTAAATGCTTTCTTAAATAGCCTGGAATTCATACACCTCGAGGGAATGCAGTCAATCTTTCCATTTTCAGAATGAATGTTACAACCATAATTAAGAAGGAAAGTACTAACAATTTCAGAAAATGTTTTGGAAATTGTCCTTATCCTCTACAGTCCCGACAGCAGCAGACCCAAGATGATATTGTTTGTTTCAGGGGTAATAAAGTTTTATCCTAAATGAACAGAATACCTGCAGTGATTGTAGATTTGAATGTTCAATCTGTTGAAGGTCAAGATGAAATTGCCTTCATTCCTCTTAGGTTCCTTCCCCCTTCCTCATAAGATTTTGATCATATCTGACTTATTTGGTATATTCTGGAGCTCCTGAACATCTGCGGCAGGATGTTCTGGAAAAGATAATGAGATATTTGGTCAGTGGTCTTTCTTTCCTGGAAGTACAATTCTTAGTGCTTATGAATAGGGCTTCTGCAGAGCTGTAGCCCCAGAAGAAAAGCTGAGCCATTACCCCAACTGCTTACAAGGAGAGGGGGAAAATCCATAGAGTCCAGGAAACCATTCAGGGGCATTATAATAAGGATTATATAATTCCTTCTGCTAGTATGGCAATTTACAGTATGCTTTCTTTTGCATTATCAACTCTTGTATTCCCTTGAAGAAAGCAGCACGATGGAAGAGGGCAAAATTAAATTTGACACCTAAATAACAATTTATCATGTATGGATTTTTAAAATAATATCTAATATATGACTTCCTGTGACACATAAAAATCTTCATTTGTCTAAAGACAATCTTTAAGCTGACATTATATCAGTCTTGCTTTTTTCCAAAGCAGTGACTGCTGTTCCCTGTCTGATGCTCCCTGAGGGGACTATCATAGAACAGGAGCCTGAGAAGGAAGGAGACGCTGCACAAGACCCTGAACATATTACTTCCCCCAAAAGACCTTTATTTTGGAAAGAAAATAAATAGAAATTCTGTTAGGGATATGGTGTCTAACCTTTCCAAAGGTTAGACACTGTAATTTCCTCAGTGGAAAAAAATAAATTATTTAAAAAAAAAGAAAGCGTCCTTTCCTAAAGAGAGATGCCCCCACCCTCAGCAAAACAAATAAACCTTATTCTCAAAATAGGAAAACAAATTTATGAATTAAAAAAAATGAGGGAAAGGAACAGTGACCCCAGATAATAGAACTCATTCCCCCCCCTGAATT